TTTTATTTTAATGCACAATTTTACTGTTTTCACTTTATGGAAATATAGCTTACAACATTTTCTTATAAGTAGCCATTAAAAAATAATAAGTAAAATCAGCTTTCTTTGAAGTCATCAAGGTTAAATAGTCGTTCTTCCTTTGCAATGGACAAATGAGTATTCTAATGCTATCACTACTAATATTAGTAATAATATCTTAACATTTATTGAACTGTTCTGTGCCAGGTGGTGTGTAAATGTAAGTGTTTTACATATAACATCTTAATCTGCCTAACACATTGTTTTCAGTGTAGAAATGAGAAAGCTGAAGAGGTAAAAGAACTCTTGTAAGCTGACACTGTTGCCAAGATTCCACCCAGAGATCTCTTACTGGAATCTTTCTTTGCTCTTTTAACTTCTTTATGTTTTATACTGACTGTTGAGATTGATGCAGAGGGTTCCCATTTTTCTGGTTCTCCTGTGCTTGGATCCTTGAGTTGGGTGTCCTTCTGGTTCAGTTTCTCCAAAGAATAAACCTCCTGTTCTTGCTTAGTTTTGGGGGAAAGCAGTTGTCTTTTGCTTATATAGACTTTCATCTAGTTCTTCTGTTTGTAGTTCCATACGTCTCCTCTACCTCCAGTTTTGGAATCTTACTTGTTTATATGATGCACATGTTTTTGGTTTTCTCTTTTGAAGGCTCTTAGGTTTTAGTTTCCTCTGCCCTGCTAAATTTGCTTTCCTTAGAAAAAAGGATTGACATCTCTGGTCTGCTTTTGTCTCTTCTCCCATTCTTTGTCTCTTTTTTGGGTTCATCCTTCTTATGTTTCTTCATGGTTATTTCTTTGCAGAAATAAATGTATAAGTTCAGTTCTTAGTATTTAATATTTAACCAGTTATCGATGATCTTTTTCTTTGCATTTTTTTGAAGTAAAAACAAATCCCATCAATGAATTTTTTTAACATTATGAAGTCAATAAATTCATTTAATATGTTGAAACTACATCATGGTTGTTAAATTTCAGGGTTTAAGGAATCAGGTTCTGTTATGTTCTGTGTGAATGCACGCACGCGTGCGCGCGCACGTGTGTGTGTGTGTGTGTGTGTATTTATCTGTATAAAACATTCCCCATCATGTCATGCGGAAGTACTCAGTAAACTTATATTCAAAGAATGAATATATTTATTGACTGTAATTTTAATTTATTCTTTAGTTCCTAATTAATTTGCTTGATCATTTTAGCAATTAGAGTTGCTCAACAAATGAGTAATCTTAAATTAATTCTCTCTGAACTTAGAAATACAGTATTTAACATGTCACTATCCTCAAAACTTGATTGATCATTTATAGGTTTTTGTGCACTATACTATTTTCAGGTTGTTTTTATAATATTTAGCTTAATCACGTTTAGATGATGTCAGCTTCTTGCGCCAGGGTCTCTTTTATGTACTGATTACTGTTGTTACAGACTCATGCTGTCCAATAGACATCATTATATTACATAGAAATTTTGGTATCTGTGCTGTCCAATAGATATAGTAACTACTAGCCACAGGTGACTGTTGAGCACTTGGAGTATGTCTAGTTTGCCTGGGAAACTGAATTTAAAATTTTATTTAATTTTAATAAATTTAAATTTAAATAGCAACATGTGACTAGTGGTTACTGTATTGTACAGCATAGTTGTAAAACATTGTAATAGCATATGCTAAGTATTTGATTCAAAATATTTTATGTTGGTTAAATTTGAATTGGCTTAGGATAAAGTACCTAATTGAGGAATAAGAGTTAGGTGAGTTATCCTAAGTTCATTATTATAATTAATATATTTTTCCTTAGATGTACCTAAGAATAAAATAGGAAGATTGCTACTTCACAATTGAAAACAGAATGTGTTTTAGGTTGGTGTATCATACCTATTATTTGGAGTTATTTTTGTGTGCTAATAAGATTAAAATGAAAGCAAAAGATGAAAGTACTTTTGGAACTTCTTAGAGGTTTTCTTCCATCCCACAAGAGAAAAAAGAAATAGTATTAAAGGAAAAGCTTGCTTTTGTTTTGAAGCTTTTGTATTTTTGACACAATTTTTTTTTTTGGTAGTAGTGGGGTTTGAACTCAGGGCTTCTTGCTTGTGAGGCAGACACTCTAACATTTGAGCCACATCTTCAGCCCCTGGTTTTGCATTTTTAATGTTTGGATGAAAATGCTGTATTTGTGAAACTTTATTCAGTAAAATAAAACTTTATTATGGAATATTGATAAATATAGTTACCACTATGCATGTAGTCTAGCAAAATATGCCATATGTACTATTTTATATGATTATGATTGCTAACTAACAATTGAATATTAGTCAAGCCTTTGAGAAGATTCATTAAACAGTTCTTTAAACCTCTTGCTGTACTGAAGGCCGCAGTCCCCAATTAGTCTCTTGTTTTCAGCAAATGATTTCGCTTCCCGTTTCACATTGTGTGAGCATTTATTTTATTGTCTTTTTTGTTGTTTTTTTTTTTTTTATCAATTTGCAATCATCAGTGCTGATCCTTACCACTTCTGCATTACAGTGGAACCCCTTCCTTCTTCCTGAGCTCTTATTACCCCTTTTACCTTCTCAAGGATCTTGTTAGGTCAGTTATTCTACCTGTTTTTTGTAATTTCAGCCTATCTCCACTGAGGTTTTGTTTTTTTTAATGCTAGGGTCGGACCCAGAGCCTTGCACATAACTAGACAAGTTCCCCACTGCCACTCTTCATCTGTATAGATACATATTTAATATGTAGTAAAGGGAATTGACCCTTCTACTCTCTTCTTCCTTTTCTTTTGATCCAGGCTTTTTGAAAGAACTTTTTATATTTTTTCTAATTCTTTCCTTTCTAGCAAACCTTCTGTATGATTCTGCTGCATGCTAATGTTTGAGAACTACTATCCTAGTCTGTATTTGTGAGTCAACAAGAAGCTCACTATTATTGCTAAAAATTGGGGTCAAAGATAATAGCATTTAGAGGACTGTTAGTTTTCACTTAGATGCAGAAGAATCAACTTTTGGTTGGTAAGGTGGTGTTTAAACTCTGAGTGATTGTAGGTAAGTAAATTAGGATTAGTTTTGGTTGTGGGTTGACAGAAACCTAAAATACTGGTGTGAAACGTAGAGATTTATTTCTTTTATAAACACAGGTAATCCCATTAGATTTGGTCACTATATGATTATCAAGAACCCATGCTCCTTTACTCTTTTTCATGGTTCACTTTGGCCACTAACAGCTATAGTTGCCCTTTTTCACATTCCGGTCAGCAAGGAGGAGAAATAAAGAGATATCCCTTCTTTTAAAGAAACTTCTCAGTAGAACTTTTTTAGAGTAGAATTTAGATATTGGTCACATCCAGTTGCTTGTAAGAGAAACTGGGAAAAACAAGTGTTTTATTTCAGGCAGTCATGATACAGATAAAATGTACAGGTTCTATCACTGTAAGGGAAAGGGAGAACATATCTGCCACAATAAACCCTTGGGGGTTTTGGTTGGATCATTCAGTAAATAACATTGACTGATTATATAAGTATTGCACTATCCTAAGTTAACTGTGGGAAAAGAGAATGTGACAGAAATACAAAGACAAAAAACCAAACCAAACAAAAGAAAACCCTTAAAATATACTTCTTGACTTTCTAAGAGATTTTACTTATTTGGGGAGGTCAAATGTGCATATAGAAGTTACAGAGTAATATAGCAATCAGGTTGTAAGTGAAGAGGGATCAGACTCATGTGGGACTTACTTTTAGAGGAGAGCATTACTAGAGGACTGGAATTTTAGAAGATAGGTTTGAAGAAGAGAGTTGATACACTTTTGTTAAATGATTTTTTTTTTTTGAGACAAGATTTAGCCTGGAACTCGGATCCTCTTGCCTTAGCCTCCCAAGTGGGTGAATGGGATTCTTTGTGCAAGACACTAATCACTGTTTAATACTCTTACTACTTAATGAGTCTTAAAAATGATTTTTGGCTGGGGATTATAACTCAGTGATTAAGTATTTGTCTGACATAGACAAGGCGCCAACTTCAATCCCTAGTACCACCAAAACAAAACAAAAAAGAAAGATTTCCAATCCAGAACTGAGGAAGGACTTGTAAGTAAACAAACGTATGAAAAATCTTTACTGGCTGTGAGCAGGCTGTCCTATTCATGATTTTAATGTATAAGAAATAATAGCCTTGTTAATTTATTTCAACTCACATTTGATTATCTCTATAGTAGTACCCTCAACTTCAAAATAGGTAAGAGGTTTGTCTTCTTTAGAGCTGTTCTAACTTATGATTTCCCAGTTGAATAACAATTGGTATGAGCTAGTAATGCAGTTTTGTATTTTTTCACTTAATATTATAATGTATAGTTTTTTTCTTTTCATAAAAATTCTTCAAAAACATAAGCTTTTAAATTGATGTAACATTCTGTGGTTTGAATTTACTGTTTTACTTGTTCATTCCCATATTGTTAGAAAGTTAAGCTCCTTGTAAAAGTTTTGTTTCTATAAGCCAAGTGAAAATAAATACATTCAAGTCGTTAAAAAGCGATTTAATACAGAAGCTATAGATTAGGATTTTGAGTATTACTGGATAGAATGTTGAAGTAACAGAAATAACATTTTTTTCCCCTGTAAGATTAGAAAGATGTTGATCTTGTAAAGAGTAATGGGATTGAGCAATCAGTGTCTTATAAAATTTGGACTTTAGTAATCTATTAAATAAAATTAAAGCAATACATAGTATTGGTTACTTACATAAACAAAATAAGTATAAATTCCTTTTTTTCTTTAAGCATATATAAATGCTTTAAGTTTCATATATTTACTAATATATAAGTCCTTTTTTTAGTAACAAGTGGCATTTTATTTTTGTTGGGAAAACAGATTCATTAAATTAGTTAATTGTTTCCCAGTGGAGTTTTGCTTGGATGGACTATTAAGTTTAGGAAATGAAGAACTAAGTATTTGTCCTTACTAGGCTTTTGTACTTCTCTTTATTTACAGGCTTTTTTGCAGATGTGTAATCTGCCCATCAAAGTGGTTTGTAGGGCCAATGCAGAATATATGTCTCCATCTGGTAAGTATATTCTTTTCTTCTCTCTCAGTGTTTTGGGTTGATAAGATTATAGTGGTCTTCCAGGCTGTACTTAGATATTTAAAATGCTTGAGTTTTGGCTTATCTTTTGAAGAATTTTCCCACTGTTTTATAAAGTAATAGCTGTAAATTTAATCTTGAAGGCAGTATGCCTACTCAGTTCAACTCTGGTCAGATAGAGCTGGTTATTGGCATGCTATGGGAATTATTTAAGATAGTAAATATTAAGGAAATATATAATCACAGTTTTTCCCAGTCTTACTTACATAGGACTTTTTTCTTCAGAAAACAAATTTTAATATTAATGAATCCATTTGTTATTCAACACACTTCTCTAAATTATTTTTGCCCACAGTACAGATAGAAGAAAAAAGATCGTAGACTAATTAAGTTGTCATTAGATCTAGTTAAAATCATTACTGAAATGTTTTTGGTTTTTAACTTTCTCTAATGTTTTATTTTAGCAGATTTTAGGATACTTTCTATTAAAGATTTACTTTTCTTACTATATTTTTGAAGTTTTAGCAAGAATTTATTTTAGTATAACAGAATAAAGTAGGGAGAAATGTGGGAAAAAAAGGGAGAAAAATTTCCTGTTCCCTGTGCAATAAATGGGAATAAAGACTCTCCTTTTTGCTGTTTTTCTTTATGATTGATATTATTCTTTATGATTTCTATAGGTCATTTGCTAGTAGGTTTAAGTATTATTTTAAATAAATAAGATTCAAATAATTTCAGTATAAAAACGTAGGACCACAAAGCTGATAAATAAATGTTAACTATAATTAGCGTTAATTATTTTAATTGTGGTTTTGCTAGAGAAATAATAACACATAGAATCACTCCTTCATGAATAACTGATTAGTTTAAGTGTGTTATATAGCTTTTTAGTGAGATATTAATCTGTTTATTATGATGTATGTCAATTTAGGAATGATTTGTGTTAAGCATTTTATTTTCACCCTTAAGTTCTTGACAGTGATGATAATTGTCAAAAGGTTATGAAGATATCCACCCCATATGCACAGAAAATTCTGTATGAATACATGTGTATTATTAGGCTTATGAATATACATTTAGAAAACATTTCCATTAAAGAATTTTCTAGACTATAAATGTAAATTTTTTTAGATTCTTGGATTCTTCATTTATTGACTTATTTTTTATGCTGGTTATATATGTGTAGAATTATATATACATATATATATAGGCTTCATAAACTATTGAATGCTGGTAAAATGTATTGTGTTCTATATTTTTCCTCTATTTAGTCATACAAAAAGAATTTTTATGTTTATGTTTATATATATACATACATATATATATATACACACACACACATACAAAAAGGTTAGTAATTCATTACAAAATTAAATCTTTGGCAAGTAAGAAGTCATATAGTTCCTCCATCTATTTATTTAAATTACTATACTTAGTGTCACTTAGATACCTAGGTCTATCTTGTTTTTATAAAAAGACTATGAAAGACAAACAGCTAAATATTAGAGAAACACAATAAATTCATACATGTACAAATACTTTCATTCATACGAGGTATCTCCTGTATGTAGATGAAAGTGGCATTTTCTACTAAGATACTTATTTTTTATCATGTCTCAAATTAGTGTTCCCTTTCCTTATGACTTGGGGTGATAAGTGAAATTTTAAAAAAATTTTATTTGCTTGCTTGATCTTGTGATGGACTTTTAAAGCACAGACCATGGGATAGTCAGACAGAAGACTGCTTGGCTAAGAGTTAGGAAATCTTTATTCCAGCATAGCAGAGCACAAAATATAGATAAAAAGGATTTATCAGAAATGTCATTTAATAAACAATATAATAGTTGGCTTGTACCTGAGTAAAACAAAAACTTTAAAATCCCCAGCCACTCCATAAATGTTACTTTTTTTTTTAAAGTGGTTTCTGTGACTTTGTCACATACTGACTATTTCCTTGGGAAATTTTACTTCTCTTCCTTGAGCTTCAGTGACTTCATCTGTAAGATGAGGTAGACAAATTAGATGACATCCGAGGTCCTTTCTAACATTGTCTAAATCTACAAACTTGTTTGGCAACATCTTTCTTTGTGTTTAGAAATAAAAGTTCAAAATGTGACTGCCTAAAGTGAAAAACAGCCCCCAGTTTCTTTTATGATCTTTAATTGGTGCCAGAGCATAACTGTCTCACTTTGCTTTTTGCCTGATACCTGCAAATACCTGATACTTTGACATTGGCTCCATCTTAAGTCAAGCTGGTGATAGAAAACATTGTTCACTTCTCATCTGTTACATTGATTTTTTTTTATATGTCCTTATGATTAGAGATACATACTCAATTGAGTATCCACACTGCTTCCCTACTTTAGAATCTACAGTGTTCAATATATTTTAAAGAAATGAAATGAAGTACTTTTTTTTTTTCCAGGAGCCTGAAACTAGTCATTTAAAAGAAGAAATATACTGCTCTAAAAATGCCATATCCCAAAATACCCTTTAGTTTAGGCACTAAAAAAAATTATATATATGTCATACCACCTGTGCTAATTCTAGTGGTTACAAAAGTCTTGTCCAAGTTAAAAATCAGTATGGCCTAATGCTTATCCAGTTAGGAAATTCTTTTGTGTGTGTGTGTGTGTGTGAGATTTAGAAAACAGCAGAAGGAAGGAATGCACCACTGGAAATAGGGAAATGTCTTCTAAATACATCTATTGAGTGTTGTATTGCAAAAGGCCTGCCTTTTGTAGTGCATGTTATCCTGTGGATGCAGACTGAAGCTTTTGTTGGTGTTGTATGTTGTGCACCTCATCCATTACTCACTGGCTGATGAGCAGGAGAGAAGTTGAATCCTTTGAAAAGGAACAGGAAAAACCTGCTGTTGATGTGAACTCTATTTGAACTAGATCTGACAGCAGGTGTCATGCTTTAGTATTTGGAGTAGACGTTCTTACTGTTTGGCAACTATTTTGTTTTCTTTATGTCTGATAACTGCATTAAGCATTAATATTTATGAAAAATTAGATATTTTAAATGGGCATTTATTTAAAGAAGCTGTTTTTATAAGCATATACTATTTTGTTCTATTTTCCCTCATGTATTGGGAACATACTTTGTCTTCTCCCTAACAAACTAACATACCTTTAAAGATTATTAATTCTTTAACTCCTGATATTTTGACTCAAAGACATATATTAATGCACCATTATGTGCTTAAACTATTGACCCTACTGGATATCAGAGATTTGAAATAAGTATAAAAAGGTTTCTTAGATATAATATTTAATAATTTTGGTACTGCCCTTGAAGAGAAAACCCAGTTAAATTTCTTTGAAATTTACAAGTGGCTTGGTTCATGTAATTTGGATAATTAGTGTTTATGTTAGAAGTGATTTGTTTAGTGTCAGCTCTGAAAAGAGAATATTGACATCTGCTATTATATCCAGATGAGAACTCTAGAATTGAGTCTACTTGTTCTTTTGTTTTTTTGTTTTTTTTCAAGGCAGGCTCTCACTATGTGTAGGTAGGCTGACATGGAACTCACTATATAGTCCAGGCTAGCCTAGAACTCATGACTTCCTGCTGGAATTGTGGCATGCTCTGCCATGCCTGATTCTTTTGTTTTAAAATTGATTAGTAATCAGTGTTTAAAAATTTGCAGAGTTTACCACATGTATCTGGCTATAATTTTTAAGTTTATAGTTTTATAAAAATCTTTATTAATAAAACATACCTGAGGGGGTTTTTTTTGTAATTTCTTTTTATTAGCACAAACTTTAATTTACTGAATATGTTTTCATACTTTTTTTTCCCCCTCAACAGGTAAAGTACCTTTTATTCATGTGGGAAACCAAGTAGTATCAGAACTTGGTCCAATAGTCCAATTCGTTAAAGCCAAGGTAATAAAAAAGATATTAAATGCATTTGATCACAGTTACTCTTAAATAAGTCATTCATCCTTCTTTAGCCTGTCTTAATGTTTTCATAGATTTTTACCTAGTTTTATAAAATGCTGATGCAAATTCCTAGCAAATATTTCTAAAGTAGTTTGATATTTATAATATCATAGTTTTCTAACTTAGGCTAATGAGAATTTTGGTCACATTGGAAGACTTTTAGGTTCTTAAGTGTTCAGTTGATTTTTGAGAGAGAGATGCAGGATATGTTTAGAAGTTAAAAGAATTTATCTATTTGATAAATTCTACTTTTCATTTAACTAGATTTTAATAGCTATTAAGAAGCATACCAATTCTGGAACATTCTCTAGACTTTTCATTTTATGTAGATAAAAAAAGCAGATCATACTATTAGATGTTATTTTGCAACTTACTCTTAAAATTACCAATATGTTTATAAATTCTGCCATATTAAGTCCTTATTGTTGGGCATTTAGGTTGTGGCCATTTTGTTTTCTTTTTGCTGTCATGAGTGTTAAAATAAGTTTTCTTGCACCAACTTTTGTACATTTGTCTTTCTCATTAGGATGATATTCCTCAGTTTGGTATTGGGATGTTATAGGGTATACCTTTTAAAAATCTTACGACAGATTGCCAGATTGAAGTAAAGATTATTCCATGGATACTGTAGTATTAGAATTTCTAAATTAGTGCCTTTTCCCCAGGTTCATCTTTGACCTCTTTATAAGTGACACATGTCAGCCTCTGGCATTTCTTATATTATTAAGGTTTATTTCTTAAAAATACAAGGTTTATTGACTATTCTGTTTTCTTCCTTTATGAAAGAATTTCTGTAATTTTGCCCAATGGAAGTAATTTATATAATAAATAAATACTGTTAATTATTAATTAGTGTTTTATAATGATAAAATATTAAATATGCTTTTATATAAAACAATTTTGTTTTAGGAGACATTTTGGAATTTAATCCATTGGACACTTGCATGTTATATCACTTGTTAGTAAGATAACCGAAAGTTTTTGTATATTTAATATAATGCTATTTTAAATTTTTTAAAATTCCTTTAGGGCCATTCTCTTAGTGATGGGTTGGATGAAGTCCAAAAAGCAGAAATGAAAGCTTACATGGAATTAGTCAACAATATGCTGTTGACTGCGGAGGTATCATATAAAATAATAGGACTTGAAATAAAATAAAATCTTTTGTAGTTTGTATTCTCATAAAATATGTAACTTTCTTAGGGGTTATTTTAAAGTTACTGAAAAATGTGAACATAATCAAGTGATTGCAGGGCTCTGATGGTTGTCCAAATTACCTTTAACAAGTAACCTGATATTTTCAGCTCTACTTTTTCTGCTTATAAGAAAGGGTGATTCTTGTCTACTCATTATTTTACTTTGACCTTTTGAAGTTTACTTAAATAATGCCTATAATATTTTAATGGTATTTGAGATACATTGTGAGAAGAAAATGTTTTTATAAAGTACCACCATTAAATTTGATAATTCTGTATAGCAATATTAGCTATGAAAAAAACCTCTTCATATATGTGACTTATAAAGTTGGCTTATAAAAAATTAATATGGCAAAGAATAACTTTATCCTTTTTCTCTTTGATATTCTAAAGTTTTGGTAACTGTTCTTTTGTTCCTTGAAGTTGTATCTTCAGTGGTGTGATGAAGCTACAGTAGGGGAGGTGAGTGGTTCTGCAGCATTTATCTTAATTAAAATTTAATGAGAAAACACTTTTGCTCAGAATCGCAAGTCCCTGCTCATAAATGAAACATTGTGGTTTATACCATTAGTGATATAGTTTTCACTTACTTTAATTTTGCTTGCACACACATTTTAGGGAAGCTATGTGTCATTGTTTGATATAACTCGAAAAGTACATAAAAGTATATATATATTTTAAAGGGAAGGTTTTAAAATTTTATTTTTTTAGATCATAAGCTGTGTTTTTTTTCAGATTGCTGTATGTATGTTCTTTATAAATATATTTTAGAATTCTATTTGTGAAAATAAGCATTGTTTTTAGGAGGGATCATATTTTCACAAAGTCTTTATGCTCTAGATCACTCATGCTAGGTATGGATCTCCTTACCCTTGGCCTCTGAATCATATTTTGGCCTATCAGAAGCAATGGGAAGTCAAACGAAAGATGAAAGCTATTGGATGGGGTAACAAGACCCTTGACCAGGTCAGTTCAGGATGAAGTTGAGAAAAGCCTCAACTTTTGTATGTTAAAAATGGTACTCCTTTAAAAAAATTCCAGATAATATAAAATTAGCAAAACATTTGCTATTTTTCTCTTCCATGAAGTACTTTTACTTCTTTTATAAAAGTTATACATGCTTATTGTCAAAAAATTATATACAGAAAAGAAATAAAAATTGTCTGAAATCAGACCACCTTAAAATTGCCACTCTTAACCATTTGGAGAACATTTTTCTAGATGTCTCTTAGTAATAGTTTCCTTAAATGAGATCATATTATGCCTGCTACTCTATAACCTGATTTTTTCCCAATTGAATAATACATTGTGGGAATCTTTTATGTCAGTAAATACAGATCTTCAGCATTGGGGCTTTAAAAAAACCTTATTAAATATGGTCCCTAATATATTTTTTTCTTTACTAAAGTAGCAAAATGTAAAAAAATATATATGTATATTTTGTTAAGGTCATGAGTTTGAGTGTCATTAAGCTAATTGATGTCTCATTTTTGCCAGCACTACCCCTAATCCTAGCTAGCCATCCTACTGATTTGTATTTAATAAATTAATAGGGATAGAATAAATAACATCTACCTCCATATAGTAGAAAAATAATTGAAATGCTTTTACTTATGGTGGGTTAGTAGTATCATTTTTATGTGGCAGATTTTTTAATATATGCAAAATCATTTGAATGTATGGATTCAGGAAAACATTTTTTAGACAGTGTTGAGAGAAAAACTTTCTTGATGTAATCCTTATAAGTAACTTAAATTTATTGGAAGGAAATTCACTCTCATATTTTCTTCCAATTATATAGAAAGCATTACCTATGTCATGTATGTTGCCTATAGTCTTATTTAAATAAATTATAAAAAATTACCTTAAGTTTATGTTTCTGTTATAAGCTGTAATACAAATTAAGTTTTGGATACTTTTATTGTTTTGCTAATTTAGATATTTTTTCTTTGGTGTCCATTGCCCATGTTAGGTCTTAGAAGATGTAGACCAGTGCTGTCAAGCTCTTTCTCAAAGACTGGGAACACAACCATATTTCTTCAATAAGCAGTAAGACATTTGATTATTATATATATATTTAGTTTCATTTCTGTATTATTAGGTTGCAGATTTCTTTTATTATAAAGGAATTGCTTTTTCAAGAAATATTTATAACCCTCCTTTTCTCGGCAGAGACCTGGGCCTTTGGTCTCTTTCCCTGTTAAGTACAAAGGCAAAAGGGCTTCAGTCCCCTTGGTGTCATATCTTCAGGTGGTTACGTCCCATCCACCCATTGAGTCTTCAAGCACCAGGACATGGAAAAAAGAAAGAAATATTTACAAAAAGACTTATTTTTAAATTCATTTTTATATTCACTAAGCATTTATTTAGCGTCTGTGGCTGTCAGACACAGTGCTAGGCTTTGGGAAGCCAAGATTTCTAAAATGTAGTCTTTGTCATTGAGTTTTTCTTAAGGCTAGTTATGTAAATCGATCATTGTGACAAGATAACGAGGTAGTTCAAGGTGCTATGTATAAACTATAAAATCTTAAAATTATAAACTTTAAAGAACTACAAAAACTTGAAGCTGCTATTAACGCAGCCACAATCTATATGAGATATGACTCAGGACTAGGAAAGTCAGTAAGACTAAGCAATAAAGAGTATTGTTGGATGGACAGCACTATTACTAACTTATCTTTTAAAAACAGGAATAATATTTGTAAAGCACAGAAATTAATATAAAAGGATGTAGATTAAATGTATGTATATACATGTAAATTAATTCATGTTTCATTGACAAGGTTTTTTCTTTTTTGCAGTTTTGAAGAAAGTTGCCAATGTAGGCAAAGAATGAATTTGTTTATTAAAAAATTACAGTTTTAATATGTCAAAATGGTTATTTATTCTGTAATCCAGTATAAGATGGGTTTAAATTAGCACTTTAATGTCAGTGGTTTGCTTTAGAAACTTTGTCTTTAGCTTGTTAAAAAATATCTTGCTTTTTACATTGATAACTTTTTTTCTTTTTTTTTTTTTTTTTTGGTGGACTTGGATTTGAACTTGGGGCTTCAATACTTGCAAAGCAGGTGCTCTACTGCTGAATCATACCTCTAGCCCTAGGATTGATAATTTTTAAAAGGCTTTATTTACTATTATTTTTATATCTTCATAGGCATTCATCTTTATAGCCATGTCAGATATCATTTGGTAAAGCTATTAAAATTTATAGTAAAAATGGCTATAATGATAGCTTGGAAATGTTTAAACTATTTTATTCTGTAGCACAGTGATTTTGAGATAAAATTTGGAACCTGTTGATCTCTGAATTAGAAAGGTCACAGAGTTCAAATTATGGAATCCTGATAGGTAAAGCTTCTGCAACTGTGCTTCTATTTCTGTTGTTTAGTCTGTAACAAGGAAATATATCCAAATGTTAGTACTATGGAGTTCCTTTTCTTTCTGATACTGAATTCTTAGTAGTTCAGAAGCTCAGAAGGGGTATATTTTATTGTTTGAAGTGTATTCTGGTTTATGAGTGAGTTAGTTTTGTTGTGCATGCTTACTGTCTTTAGGAGAAGCCAAGAAAATAGATATAACTTCTTCTCAGTTAAATTCATTACAACCAGAGATCATTTGGCACATAATTTAGAGGAAATATCAAGACATTCCTTTTCTTTATAAGGGTATAATTATACGTAAGAAATTCAAATTTAGAATAGTTGCAAAACCAAAGGCTTGCATTTAAGGAACTGTTTAATTGATATAAAGATACAGGTTTTTGAGATAATTTTACCTTATTTGATACTTAAAGATTTTTTCACTAACCAATAATTATGAATGAAGAATAAGCTCAATTTTTAAATTTTAATCATTTAATCAATATTAAAATACAAATAAACTACATTTCTTAAAAAGTAGCCAGTATTTTCACTTTGCTGTGACTAAACTTTTCTCATTCCTTTATCTGTGGCAGGAGTCATTCCTTTGTGAGGCATGATATTGTAGCTAGTACAATGCTAGCTTAAGTTAAGATAGGATAAATAGATTAGACTCCAAGTTGGAGGCCCTGAATTTTAGTTTGTTCCTTTTTTAAAAAAAATTTATTTTTCTCTTTTAAAAAAATTATTATTGTACTGGGGATGCGTTTACAAAAGTTCTCACAACATATCATAGTTGAATTCACCTCCTCTATTATTCTCCTTTATCCCCTCTCCCCCTATTCCTGGAAACACTTCAACAAGTCTCATTTTTTATTTTCATGCATAAGTACATAATGTTTTCACCATATTCACCCTCCTACACCCTTTCCTTATATCCTTTCCTCTCCCACTGGCGCCAGCCCCCAGACAGGACCTGTTTTTAATTCTATTCTTAACTCTCACATATACTGAATTTGGACAAGTTCTCTTAATTTTCCTATGTGTTCTCCTTTTACTCCCTAAAATTAGAATCAACTTTTATTCTACAAGGATGTTGAGACAGGACTCATGAAAGAAACCAAATGACTTTGCTTGATGAGAGAAGAGAAAAAGGATAGTTAAGTGGTTCGTACTTATGAACCACTGTTCTTACGAACAGTGGTTGATAACAAATGACCAAGAAGCTAGGGGTTTGATTTACATACTTGAATGAAAGTTCTAAAGACCAGTGATTGGTATTTATGGAAAGGATACAGATTATTTCTAGTAGTGTGAAGATGTGACAAGTTAATAATATATTAGGAAACCCTTAGGTAAAATTACTGTTTTTAAAAGTAGATGATTCTATGAAGGGTATCAGAAAGAAAAAGGAAAGATGAAATGATAATAAATAAAAAAAGATGAGTACCACAAAAATTAAAAATGGAAGAGGTCAAGAAAACATTCACATTTTATGATACTTTTTTGTTTTGATATTCAAATGAAAGAGTAATAGATAAACAGAACTGTGAAAAAAATGAGAATGCAAGATAAGAAGGCAACAAATTTCTTAGGACTTTAAAATATATTTATCATCCTGGAATATTTTTCTAATAAAAAGTCTATAAAGATAAATGCAGCAATATATTTGAAATATCTTAGAGCTCTTAGGAGGAGAATTGCTTTCTCTATCCAAATTACAATCCACAAATTATTTGGCAAGCATAAGAATAGAAAATGGTATTTTCTCCTCTTACAGTATAGCAAAGTCATTAAAGTCTTGGCTTGATTAAACAAATGAGAAATTCTGGGTAAAGTATAGTTTTTTGTCCTTGTCTTTCAGATGAATTGTAGATATTTTTCTGAATTTATTGTTTGCCTTTTTTAAAGTCAGGTCTATTGAGGTGTAATTTACGTTTAGTAAACTTGGTATTTTTATGAATATAGTTGTATGAGTTTTAACAAAGGCATGTAATTGTGTTACCACCATAAGTGTACTTTTTTAAAAAAAAGGGATTGTGGGAATTGGTAATTTATATATGTCAGAATCAATTAATATAGGGAGTTGCTGAAATTTGTGAAGATTATAAGAAATATACTTTATAAGTTTTGTGTGTATGTTTTGTTCGATTTAATCTATTATATTTTACTTCTTTCTTCTTAGACTTTCTTTTTTTAAATTGTTTTATTATTCATATGTGCATACAATGCTTGGGTCATTTCTCCCCCCTGCTCCCCCCCCCTACCACCTACTCCCCCTCCTCGCTCTCCCCCCCTTCTTAGACTTTCTAAAGTAACCTACCACAAAGTTGCTATCTTTATGTAACATCAGATCAATTTTTGTATGCTCATATCCATATGTAACTCAGCACCTTTGGAGTTATGTGGGTATATATTTGCAGCAAATAACATTTTGACCACTTCAGGAGTATTTCTGGACGTTTCTACTTTGAGCATGCATTCCTTCTTGAACTCATTCAGAGTCTTCATTTATTGATAAAGAACATATAGCTATACTGCTGGAAGTTGCATCAGAGAAACTATTCATGTTTTTGAGATTCTAGTATAAGAAGCAAAAGGTAATTGCCACTAAACAAGAACTAAAAAAATAAGTCCTTAATTGTTAAGATAAGATATACCTTTTAAGAAATGTTTAGTGGGGGCCAGGTGGTACATGCCCAAGATACTCAGGAGGCAGAGATCAGGAGGGTCATTGTTTGAGGCCAGCTTGGGTAAAAAAGTTAGTAAGACCTCATCTCAAGAAACAAGCTGGACTAGTTGCTTACATCTGTCATCACAGCTATGTGGGATGCATAGGTAGGAATATCACAATCTGATCCTATCTGAAAATTAAAGCTAAAAGGGCTGGAGGTGTAGCTTAAATGGTAGAGTTCTTAACTAGCAAGCTTGAGGTCCTGAGTTCAAATCCCAGGACAGCCAAAAAGAAATGCTTAGGAATGTGGAAGAGTTAATGTTTTATAAGGATCTGTTTGCTATTTATTCTTTGTCTGTAATGTCTAAGGACGCTTACAGTTTTAAAAAACTATCCTATCGACTGTCCTCTTAGGTATAGCCATAGACTGCCTATCTAACTTTATTTTATTTTTATTATTGTTTATTTATTTTGCTCTAGACAGGGTCTCCCTATGAAGTCCAGGCTGGTCTTGAACTCTTAATCCTCCTGCCTCATCTTCCTGAGTGCTGGAATCAGGTGTGCACTACCATGTTCAGCTATACATCTTACTTTAATTAATATCTCATGAATGTGTCACAAGAGGGAAGGCTTTGAAAGAATGTGAATAACCGCTACTGAAAAAAATAAAATATCCCACGCTCCACATGTGGGATTCTTTCTTTTCTCTTTCATTCATTTATTCAGCAAATCATCTTTTAGATTCTAGATACTGTACAAAGAACTGGGGAAGTAAAGATATAGGCAGTATTGCCTTTAAAGAATTTGGAGTGTAGTGAGGAAAACAGTTAAATAAATACAGTTATAGTGTAATAAAGAGAAGCATATAATTTTTTTAGTGATTTATGCAACACATATTGAGGACCCATTTTGTCCTAGGCATTGTTCTAGGCATTGGGAATATAGCTAGAAAGTAGTAGACCAGGTTTTTTCCTCATGGAACCTACAGTCTCATAGAAGAGACATATAATGAACAGTAAATATTAGATGACATTAACTACTACATGGAGAACTAAGATAGCATTACCTGATAGTAAGTGACACAGTGTCCACTTTAGTTTGAGTGATCAGAATTGGCTCTAAAATGTGACATTTGGGCATCACTTTGAAAATCAAGAAGGAGCCAAACGTGAAGTCAGGGGAAAAATAATTCAGGTAGGAGGAATAGTTGATGCCAAGGCCTCAAGATTAGCTTGAGTTTGTTATGTTCAGATAAAAAAGCAAAGCGCAGTTTTAGTTGTGCTGAGAATGGTAATGAGGCTGAAGAGATGGGAAGGGACCACATCATCTACTCCTTATATGTTTAGAGTAGGGAGTTTGTTATTTTAGTGAAAGTGGAAATCCACTGGGATGTTTTATACTTGGAGTGGTGTGACCTAGTAACATTGCAAAAGGCATTTTGACTATAATATGCAGAATGAGTAGAAGCTTAAAGTTACATTAGGAGGAAGCCATCTTTAAGATTGTCTCTTTCAGAAATCTAAATTCTTTTACAAATGGTAAAAATTTAGATCATATAATGTTCTTGGTTCATGATTGAATAATTGGGTATCATTTTTTTGGTCCCAGCATCACAGTGAAATCCTGTTAAAATGCTTCGACAGAATTTTGTTTATGAATCTATTAAAATATTTAATAATTTATGTTGTGGTAAGTTATGCTTTTATCCATGTCTTAGAGTGTCTTTCTTGTTTTTGTATCTAGCCTCTGGTACAGTTTCTGGCACATTGAGTACTTATTGTATTTATTTGGTGATTAAAATAATTAAATTAATGTGATCTATTTACATCTATGTATTTTTTAACACATTTAAGTACTACAAGCAAGCAAGTCACAACTATTAAATCATAGTTTAGTGTTTTCATGTCTTACAACGAAGTTAAAATGGAATAAATTCTATCAAGTTATGATAGGAGTTATTTCTTATGTGACATTTTAATTTTTAATTGATGAATAAAATATTTTAAAGTCAGAATATTTTCTGACTTTAAAGTTAGGTCTTGTTCATGTTACTCTCATTTTTACTTTTGTTTTAGACCTACTGAACTTGATGCCCTAGTATTTGGCCATCTGTACACTATTCTTACCACACAGCTGACCAATGATGAACTTTCTGAGAAGGTGAAAAACTACAGCAACCTCCTTGCTTTCTGTAGAAGAATCGAACAGCACTATTTTGAAGATCGAGGTAAAGGCAGGTTGCATTAGGCTTATATGTGAACTTAGTTATTTTAAAAAAAAATCTAATTTTTAAAATACATGTTACTTGGAATTTATGATAGAGATTGGCATCAGAATTTTAAAACCAAAAACACTGTTTTTTGAAACCTCAAAACAAATTACATAATGTATCCTATGTATGTTCTTTACATTGTTATTTGTGTACACATTAATTTTGAATTGTTTCATTTGATATATTGTACTCTATATATTTTGAAATGTTTGTTTCCTTATAAGCACATAAAAATAAAACTTAAATAAATGTGTGATTGTTACTCACTTTCTTTTGATCTTTCTGAAAGCTACTCACTCAGCTTTATATATAAATACAGGGTAAACAATGTCTTTTCTAGGCAAGAAATTTGCGTTACATACTCTAATACTACTTCCTTAGGTACTTGATGAAACTGGTCATGGGAACAATGCTCTTAGCAAGTATGCACTTAGAAAATGGATGACTATAAGGTAGTTCAGTGAGGTGAAGAGTTAACATGGAAGGGCATTCTTTATGTCCAGACTGGATTGGATTAAATAGCATTTCATCAGAGCAGCTGTGATTTACATTTGATAAGGGGATGGGTTGAAGGACCTTACTTTTTTTTTGAGACAACATTTCGATAATGCTCTTTTATTCCTTTTTTTGGGGAAGAGAGGATAGTTTTCACAGAAGTATTGATGGCAGTTTATATGTAAACACTAAGAATTATATGTTGTGCTTTCAAATTTTCTAATATATCTTATAAAACTAGGGATGGCATAAAGAACTAGTTGTAAAAAATGTTAAAATGTCAAGAATGATAGTACTTTCTTTTTATGTAACAGGGATTTTTAATTCACTTAATCCTTACAAAAATACTATGATGCTTATTTGTCCCCAATTTATAGGTGAGGAAATAGAGCCACAAAAATAATGATACCTTGCCCAAGGATATAGAACTAGTAAGTGATAGAATTGTTATTCAAACCCAGGCAGTCTGACATCAATTTGACTTTTCACCATTCTGCTTTTTTTGTTGTTGTTAAGATTATAAAGGATTAACAGGTTCTTCTAATCTAAATTCTGGTCTAAATCCCACATAAACTTTGAGTATCGCACTTTGGGATATACCACTATTAGCTTTTTCTGAGTTACTTTTGTAATGTGTACAATAAAATAAAAAGTCCCCCATCATCTGGGGTTTTTTGCACAATTTTTATGACTGATTTTTGTGTATATTTTTATATACATGTTTTGCATATAGCACATTTTTCTTTTAATGTTGCCATAATTCATTTACATATGCAAGTATTATACACAATCAGTATACATAATACAAATTTTTTTCTCTGAGTTTTTTGGATATACTCTGTCATAGGTTTTGATATTTTTAATCTTAATGATCACAACTGCTATATTCTTATCAGGAGATATTGAATGTTTATTCCAAGGTGAGATATCTATATTGTATGTGGATTATTCTCAGAGATGGTTTGTTCAGTGTTGAAATGAATCTATCAAAACACAATGTAATGGAAAGTGGAAACATTGACATTCTGTAATGGCGAGTTCAGTTTCCTGCATTTATCTTTTACATTTGAATTTATAAAGTCAAGTGATAGTAGCTAAAAATTATTAGTGAAAAGCCAGTGTGCTGACAAAAGAATTAAATACTGTTATACTGTCAAAACACACATAATATAGTAAACTTTCTCATAATTCCTACCATGTCTCTAATTTATTTTGTATGAACTTTCTGTGAGATTCCTAGAACCTTTGAATGCATATAAATTCCCCTTGAATCTGTGAACCTCAGGTTTTTGTTTTATTTTAAATCTTTTGTTAGCCCACAATCAGTCTTTAGCAATTAGTTAATTTTTAGCTTAGTTCTCATTATTGTTCAACAGTACCTGTTTCAGGTAAGTCCTCATGTCCCTTCTCCCTTTAGATTTGAATTAGTTGTCCCTATAGCTTCAGTTTACTGATGAATTCAAGAACCTGAGAAAGTTTGCAGATTGTGTGGTGTTTATGGTTATTGTAAGGGTAGGAGCAGTGCTCTTTTCATCTTTCTATAGTCTGTGCAGAAGTTGGAAATCAAGGTTGTTTGTTTATTCTTGATATAAAAAGTATTCATTTAAAATTAAAAGTACGAAATTTTTAAAAAGAGGTTTTATTATATAAAATTTCAAACATACACAGAAGTAGAGAAAGTAGCAAAAAGTACTACTATTACCTATCAGCCTTGTTTCAACAGTTACTAGCTCAAGGCCAATAGATACCCCATTATTTTTTGGTTTTTTTTCTTTTTCTTTTTCAATATTATTTTATATCTGTTCACATGTCTGCTTAAAATGTAATATACAGCAGTATTCCTTTATCTTAATATTTTGTTGTGATATGCATCAAATTCACATCTAAGTGAAAAAGTAAACATTTCTAATCTTAGCAGGCCTCACATGACACTGATTTAATCTAAAGCTAGCCCCTCTCAACTTGGAGACTGCCATTATCCTGAACTTTGTGTGAATCATTCCCACACTTTAATTTTTTCTCTGTTTTCAATCTTTACATAGATGAGAACATATTTGAATTCTGAGTTTTGATTTTTTTCCACACAGTGTTACATTTTGAATTTCATTCATTTCATTCAACCTAGCAGTGGCTAACTTCCACTGTTAATAGTATTCTTTTATATGCAAATGTAATACTTTATTTCTATGGTCCCTTGTTGGTGGACTTTTGGGTGTGTCAGGATTCTTGCTGTTATAAAAGAAACTGCTTATGAACAATCTTGTACATATATTCTGGTGCAAATGTGTATTGATTTTTCCAGGGTATATACTTAGAATATGGTTGCTGGGTTGTCAGATATGTGTATATTTAACTTTAGTAGGTAATTCCAAGTTATTTTCCCGAATATTTATCAATTTTCACACTTCCACTTCTTTGCCAACATTTGGAATTATTAGACTTAATTTTTTAGGAGGGGGCTTTGTGCTTGCTAGTCAGGCTCTCTACCCCTTTAGTCACACCTCCAGCCCTTTATGCTTTGGTTATTTTGGAGATAGGCTGGACTATACTGTGAGCCTCCTGTTTGGTCTTTCCCACATAGCTGGTATGACAGGCACATTCCACTGCTCCTAGCCATTGGTTGAGATAGGGTTTTGCTGACTTTTTGCCCTGACTGGCCTCAAACTGTGATCCTCCCAGTCTCTGCCTGCCAAGTAGCTAGCATTATAGGCTTGAGCCACTGCACCTGGCCTAGACTTAATTTTTTTTTAATGTGGTTTTAGTTTGTATTTTAAGCTGAGTATATTTTTTATGCTTATTGGCTATTTTTTTCTGTGCTTATGTATATCTATGTGAATTACCTATTCATAATAGTTTTGTCTGTTTTTTTCCTGTTGGATTGTTTTTAATCTGTTTTTAGTGATTTATGGAAATTCTATGATATTAATTCGTAGTTGGTTATAAGTGTTAAAGATATTTCCTCCTAGTTGGTTTGTCTTTTTACTTCCTTAATGGTGTCTTTCAATGTATAGAAGTTCTTAATTTTAATATAGTTAAAGTGATGCTTGATTTCTTTATGATTTGAGCTTTTTGTGCCTTGTTTAGGGCATCCTTCCCTGTAGAAGTCACTAATGGAACTCTTAAGATCTTATTGCCTTCTGTGCAGATTAACTACTAAGCCCTGTGGCTCATTTCTTTTTTAACTGAGTAGGTGGACACAGTCATAAAATACGTGACCCATTGTATGATGATGAGCAAAATATTTCTGTGTATTTTAGTGTTTCCCTTTTAAGTTTGCCTACTTTACAACTGAGACCTTAAAAACCATATGCCAAAAGTAATACCGGTAAAGACCTTTTTTGAAATTCTTAAGCACATTCAGTTCACCTTTTTGTTGAAATTTGTGAAGGAAGATAATGGGAAACTGATATCAGACATAATGAGGAAGATGTAATTTTCAACTACATAGTTGTACAAAAGTTAAAGAAAAAAAAATCTTTCTGGTCCTGACTCTCGAATTGTCCTAGAAAAGACTATTGTTTGTTCAAATAGCTCCTCTGTTCTTTACAGGGTTTTTTGCTGACAACCTATGTGACTCTTAATAAATCTTCTAAAACATTAAAAAGCAAAACAAAATCCTACCAGAATTTACTCTAGAAAGTTTAAGCAGGATGGAGTTTATTATAAGATTTCAAGTGGCTTACAGAATCTTTTTACAGCACTGAAGAAACACTGGAGGTTGTGCTTTGAGGAGCGATTCCGCAGAAGCAGGTCTGCAATGACACTCTTGCCTCTTTTAGGATTGGGAAGCCATGAGCGCTCCAGTTGTACTATACCTATCTTGATCAGGAAGGTGCCATGATGGGATGCTGTTTGTGACTGCTGTAGCATTCCAGAAGAGAACCAGAAAATCCCTGCTGTGATAAGCACTACCAGAATGGATGCCCACACATTGCCTCTTAATTTCACAGAGCTAATGACTTGATACCAGGCGATACCTCTGATGGCATTTCTACAGAAAAAAACCTATGATAATGCTTGCCATAGAAATGATAGTATTAGACTTTCCACCTCACTTTTATCTTTCACAACTTACCTGGTCAAATGCTAAAACTAAGTAACACACAGAACCCTATTTGGAAGGAAGTCTGGAAAAATGTGGGTTTTAACTTTCCATCTTCTGCAGAAGAAGGTGCCCTAAAAGGAGGTGGCAGTGGATGTTGAACATTAACTTACTATATTCATCATCCCTGAGATAATAAAAGCTGCTCCCCAATTTTTTTTGTGCAATTTTTGCCTTTTATGTTAAAGTTCTTTTTTTGGGGGGTGGGCAGTACTTGATGTTGAAGAAGGGTATTGCATATTCTAGGCAAGTACTCTAGCACTGAACTACATCCCCATCCCTCATCTTAAGGTTCTTAGCTTGGGGGTGGGGTGCAGTTCACATGGTAAAGCACCTGCCTAGCAAGTGCAAACCCCTGAGTGCAAACTCTAGTAGCAAGAAAAAAAGTAATTAAAAATTTATTTTTGATCTGATTTGGGAGCTATTACTTATAAGGAGTTTGTAAAAATAAAAAAGGATATTGCTGTAATATACCTCCTTATCTACATATTCATACAAACAGGTTTTTTTTTTTAAAGCATTTATAACTATAAAACAAAAGTAGAAATGTAATTGAGGCTGAATTCTGTCTCCTTGGGGCTGAGTCTTGATTGTTGGATATAAGAACAAGTTGGTTAGAAAATCAGTTTTACTCAGCTTACTAAGAAATATACTTTTCAATGAAATTTTGCTGTCACGTGTAATAATTATCACTGTAACATTTCATATTCTTTGAGAAATTGTGAAATGACAGTACTTGGGAAAATGACTTAATCTGGAAGATAATAACAAAATCTCTTGTCCCACAGAAAATAAATTTGAAAGGTTTGACTCACAGGAAGCTGTTTGTTGTAAAGAAATAGAATTGAGTATAAAAAGGCCTTTGGGCATAAAAGTAATTCCAGAGGGTCAAGTTCTGAAGGGGAAGTAAAATGAAGTTCAGGAGAGATGAAAACTTTCAGAGGGACAAAGGGCTCATCCATGTGTCTATTGAATATGAATCTTTTAATGGGGATAGATATTTAATTTCATTCTTTTCTCAAGTGGATAATTTTCCCAGTACTCTTTACTCACTGGTGTGACCTTTTCCTGCTGATACACATCTCAGTTTTACTGTCAAGTTGCCATATACACACAGAATTGTTTCTTGGCTATTTTGTTACATTGAGTGTTTCAGCATCAAAGTCAAATTGTCTTAATTCCTATAATTTATATCAAATTTTGATGCCTGATAAACCCCATCTTATTCTTTACTCTCAGGAATTAAAGTTAGCTTTTTGCACATCCATGTAAGATTCAGAATAAGTTTTTAAATTTTTGAATTCTCCATTTTGGATAGTTCCTCTGGCTACGTCTTCACATTGACCTCTCTGCAGTATCTTACCTGTCATTGATCCTCTGTAGTGTATTCTTCATCTCTAACATAATATTTTTTATCTCTAGAAGTTTGATTTTTTTTCACCAACCTTTTTGTCTCTTTAACATGATTGATCTCATATTTTAAACATTCATGTTTAACATGATTGATCTCACATATTTTAAACATTCATGTTTAGTTACAACTGCAGTTGTAATGTCTTTGTGTCAGTTCTGGGTTGGTTTTCTATTGACTGATATTTCTCCTGCTTATAAGTTGTATTTTCCTGCTTCTTTGCATGCCTGGTAACTTTTTTTTTATTGTTATATTATTCATATGTGCATACAAGGCTTGGGTCATTTCTCCCCCCTGCCCCCACCCCCTCCCTTACCACCCACTCCGCCTGGTAACTTTTTATCTAATGTCAAATACTGTTAATTTTTTCTTTTGGAGTGCTGTATAGTTTTCTGCTTTTTTGAATATTCTTGAAGTTTGTTCTGGAATACAGCTAAACTTCTGGAAAACATTTTGACTCTTGGGTCTTGTTAGTAAGATTTGAAATAATTTGTAGGTAGGAACAGAACGATGTTTAGTCTAGGGCTAATTCTTTAAATATTCTGTCTAGCACTCGGTCAATTATGAGATTTGTGAATCTTACTGGTGGAAACAGGCACAATGTGATCTGTCAGTGTGGTGTTCCTGGCCTCAGTTTCCTCAAAACACACTCATTGACAGTGGTCTCCTGAATGCCTAGAAGGCCTTCCTCAGATCTCTGGAGTTCTCTTTCATCCCCACTGTTCAGTCCTGCAGACTCTAGCAGCCTTCATCTCCTTGGCCTCTTCTCTCTACCACCTCAACTTTGTGAGTCTTCCAGGCTCTAATTGTACTTTCTCTTCCTTGTGTGCTGTCCTGGTGTGATGGTTAATCTTATGTGTCAGCTTGATTGATTGAGACATACCAAGATAGCTGATAAAACAGTTTCTGGGTGTGTCTGTGAGGATGTTTCCAGAAGAGATTAGTATTTGAATTAGTAGACTGAGTAAAGAAGATCTATCCTCAACAGTGGGTGTGGGCCTCATCCAACCCATTGAGGGCCTGAGTAGAATAAAAGAGGAAAAAAGGGTGAATTAGCTCCCTGTTTTGGAGCTGTGACATCCATCTTCTTACAGATGTCAAATCTCTAGGTTCTCAGGCCTTCAGACTCTGGGACTTACACTTGAATCGATTAGAGATTATATTAATATTGCATTAAGAGATTAAGAAATGTTTTAAGGTTGTATAGCTAAATTGTACAGTTTACATTCCCATGAAACGTTTCATCAAGAAACATTAAAATATCTCCGACTCTAAGTGAAAAATATCTCATTACACTTTGATTTTGTATCTGATTAATAAATTGTTAGTATTTTTCAATTTTTTGGTTATTCATAATCTATTTTTATCCTTGTTGATCAGGTTGTTTCTTTTCCTAATTGATTTACATGTGATCTTTATGTCATAGGTAAATTATCCCATTGTTTTCATAGGTGTTGTGGAAATTCGACTTCAGCTTGCCATTTACTTTTTTACTTCATTTTTAAAAAGTGAAAGTAAATGTTTTTAATGAATTGAAATATGTTATTGTTACGGTTTGTATCCTAAATGTCCATCAGAGGTACATGTGTTGAAGGTTGATCCCAGCTGATGGTGCTATTAGGAGATGGTGGAACCTTTGGAAAATGGGACCTATTGGAGGGAAGTTGAGTTGTTGGGGGGTACTCTTGAAAGGGCTATTGGGACCCTGGACACTTCCTCTCACTGTATTTTGTTGTTGCAGTTTTGCTCTGTCACATGCTTCCCCCTCCATGACATACTGCTTTGCCACAGACCCTGAAACAACAGAGCCAAATGACCTCTGAAACAGTCAAAATAAATCTTTCCTCCTTAGGTATTTTGTCACAGTGATGGAAAGCTGACCAGCACAACCCATCTTTTTCATCTTCCTGATTTTTGTACTCATTTTGGTCTGTCTGAAAATTATCTTGAGTAATACAAGTGGAGTTAAGGATTTGGGTCTAGTATTTGTATGTTTATTTACTTATTTACACAAATGATTAGCCAGTCATCCCAATATTTTTGTGCATTCACTGATTAGAATTCCATGTTATATGAAATTTCAAGTTGAAATTTTGTTCAGAAATGTTGCTGGTAACTTTATTATAAAAGTTATAGTATTTCTTGTTACATGGATTATCACTTTTCAAATAATTATAATGCAGTAAAATCTAATAGTGAAACTGCATCAAGCATTTTTTTAATTTCTCAGGATGAATCAAGCTATTCTAGAATATTGTAATGTTTTAGGGTTATTAAGATCAGTTAGAATAGCAAGTTTTAGTGACAATTTATTAAATATGTAGTTGGTAGGAAGCTAGATTCATTTGTTTCTACCATAATCATTAATCTTTATAAAATACTAAAACATACTTTATTTGATTTGGTTACACACTATTTAAACACTAAAGATATATAGTATGCCTACTTACTGATGAAGATCTATGTTCAAAGAAAAAATGTTAGCGATTACAGTTTGAAAAACAATGTTTCTCCCTCTTGACTCCTACCTCCCCTTAAAAAACAAAGAAGGAAACCCTTTGCTTTACCAAGTATTTTGAAAACTTTACAAGGTATGTCAAATTATCAGGATACTAACTTAGATGATGGGTCAATATAGACTCTTCAGGTCAGTGTCCCAATTTCAGTGATTATTGAGTTAAAAATCTGTGTGTTCCTGAGGAGTGAGAATATTAAATCTCTCTAATCTGTATATTTTGTTAATGTTGAACAGTAATTATTTTGTTTTGGTTTAGGAATACATAAAAAAAATAGACCATTTATGTAGCACAAAGTTGTTTCTGGAGGATTAGCTCCTTCAGAAACCTTGGTTTAAACTAAAGTGAAGAAAAGTTGTTTTGAAAAAATGTGTTTTTAAAAAAAACAAAACACAAGACTAGAAAAACTACCAAATTTGGTGGTACTATTGAACTTAGGGCTTCGTGCTTGTTAAGCAGTTGCTCTGCCACTTGAGCCATGCCTCCAAAACTACCAATTTTGTAGAGGTTTGTTCCTTTAAATAAGAAATGTTGGCTTACTAAGTTTAATGTAATACACATTCATCAGTGTTACGTTTCACTCCTATGAAACCAGAGATAATTAAAATAAAACATTAAGGATAGGTTTTAGCCTTTATTCTCCCTTGGTACTAGGGATTGAACTTGCGGCCTTGCATTATTTTTTAACTTTTTGATGTATATATTTGATTTGTTTGATTAGATCCCTGGTTTTTTTTTTTTCCCTGTTGGAGTAAACAAGTTATACAGTATTGAAAACTCGTACAGCAAATAGAGAAGCTGAAAGACAAGATGAAAACACCATGAAGAAAATGTGAAATAATCTACTGATGACCACACTTGGAATCTCAAAAAGAAAAGGCAAAGCCAGTGATGAAACTAAGGTGTTGAACTCTTAAAGCTCTGGGCTTTGAAATTAAAAAAAAAAAAAGACACTCCACCTAGGTGTTTATCAAGAATTGATGTTTACATAGACTGGGAAATTACTTAATCTGTGAACTGTTCCTGGATTTAAGGCCATTATGTGTAAGTAGTGGTAATATATTACTCATGTAATGTAGTAGCAGAGATAGGATGACATTAAAAGTTCTTTCCAACAGATAGGCTTTCGTTCTCTGTTTTCTTGCACAATTTAGGAGTGCTGAATTTCTCACTGGACGGCTCAGGAAGCATTACTTAGCAATGTTGTTTTGTGGTTGTTTTTTTGTTTGTTTTTTGGTATTACTGGGGTTTGAACTCAGAGCCTTGTGGTTGCTAGGCAAGTGCTCTCCCACTTGGCTCTCTTATACCTTTTTGCTTTCATTATTTTTCACATAGAGTTTTGTGTTTTTGCTCAAGCCAGCCTTGGACTGCAATCCTATGACTCCCATGTAGCTGGGATTACAGAAGTGTACACAACACCCAGCTTTTTTTGTTGAGATGTGGGGGGGCTCACTTTTGTCTGCATTGGTCTTGAACTCTGATTCCCTTATCTCTCACCTCCAGTAGTTGGGATTATAGGCATGAACCATTGCATCTGGCTAGCAAACTCTTGAGTACTCACTTTGTTTTTATCTCTTGGTATTAAATTCTTACTTCATTTCCAGACTAATACTCTTGAGAATTAGGTTCTTTGGAGGATGTACATCCTCCAAGGTGCTTATTTTCATTCATTTAACAAACATCATTAGTTTGCTATGGACCGTGCATTTCTCTTTTTTTTTTTTTTGGTCGTACTGGGGTTTGAACTCAGGACTTCATGCTTGCTAAGCAGGTGCTCTACCACTTGAGCCACTCCACCAGCCCTTTTATGTGTTGGGTATTTTTGAGAAAGCGTCTCTCAAACTATTCATTTCTCTTTATTTCTGCTTCCTAAGTAGCTAGGATCACAGACATGAGCCATTGGTGCCTGGCAAGGACTGTGCATTTCTGAATAAAAACGGTACTGTCTAATTCACTGCTCCCTTTCTCCAGTTAGTTTTTGAATGTGCAATAGGTGCACAAATACTTACTGAGTGGATTTAGATCATGGAAAATCCCTCAGTATTTAGGAATTGAATAGCTTGAGGTCAAAGATGAAATCGTGAAGGAAATTTGAGAATATTTCTTAATTTGTTGTTTTGAGTTAAGCAATAATGAAAATACATATATTCAAATTTGTGGGGTCCCATCCTTCCCCTCTTGCCTAGGGGGAAGATTACAGCTTTACATGCTCCTGTTAGTAGTCTGTAATCAAGACCTTAACTTCTACTTTTAGAATCTAGAAAAAAAGAAATTAAATTATACATAAGTACTGTGAAGGAAATAATAGAGTGGAAATCAATAAAATGGAAATGTACAATAGAGAAAAATAAATGAGACTCGAATAACAGAAAGCAGAGACATACTAGAGAAAGATCAGTAAAAATGTAGGTAGTAACTCAAAAGAGTCAATTGGGGAACTTGGAAGTGAGATTCATGATTTTCCTTTCTGTAACATCTTGTTGAATAAGATAAAGCAGACATAATCATCTCTAGAAAAACTACCTTATGCCTGGCACAGTGGCTCATGCCTATAATCCTAGCTACTTAAGTGGTGGAGGTAGGGAGAATCACACTTCCAGGTCAATCCAAGCAAAAAGTTCACAAGACTCCATCTTAACCAATAAAAACTGGGTGTGGTGTCACAGGCCTGTCACCCCAGATACTTGGGAAGCATGAACACTAACCAACTTGAATTGTTGAAAACACATGGGCACTTTATTCCTACTGGTATATTCAAAAGTCTTTAGATGGGCATTTCTGATAAAGATGAGGAACAAGGTAGGAAAAAATGAAGTGGTATCAATTGCAAGGGAAAAAAATTGAAATAGATCGAAGCAAATTCCTTGTTTGGGTTGCCAAAAAAAAACAAGTTTACTACAGTGTGGATTTAACTCTCTTAAAAGGCCACTCACACAAACACTAGGGATGATGATGAGTATACCCCTCTTCATGGAGTGGCTGACAGTGGGCATAGTATCTGTCATTACCTCTTTGAAATTGGGGAAGGCTCAGTAAATTCTTTACCTCAGTCTTAATGGTTCTAGCAAATTTTTTAAGTTTCTAAATAGCAGTGCCTTCTTTATGTGCGATATAAAATATTCCCATAAAACAAAGTTGACATCAAATGTTTAATATAAAAATTCATGGGCACTCCATGTTCTTCCAAGTGAAGTGCCTGACCTTGACGTCAAAATTTAGTGTCTATATGCATCTTTAATGATTTCTATGAAGTTTGTGATTTTTATTAGAAGTAATTTTAACTCATCTATTGACATGGATAATACAGAAACTAACGGTATTTTTGGCTGATCCAAGAGAAGTGTTTTTAAATATTCCATATCCTGGATCTTTGTTGAATATTTAGTATGTTGATATATATTTTTACAAGCTAAGGCAATTCAGAATTTAATTAAGTCTTTTATGTGAAAAGAAAGAGTCATTTTGGAGTGGGGGATAAATACTTTTAAGAAGATGGTTCTGGAATAACTTGATACTATGGGGGAAAAACCCCTCCAATCTTACCAAATACAAAAGTTCACTCAAATGTTTATAGATCTAAGTGTAAAGTTAAAACTCTAAAACTTCTACAAGAATACACTTGGAAAAACTTTGTGTTTGGGGAGGTAGGCAAAGATTTTCTAGATAGGGCACAGAAAGCACTTACAAGAAAGAGAAAATATTTAAAAATTGGACTTAAACACTTCTCTGCCAAAGATACTTAATAAAATGAAGAGGTCACAGACAAGGAGAAAATTTTTGCAATAATATGTCTGATAAAGGCCTTGCATCCAGAACAACAAAGAACTCTTAGAACTTTGTAAAAACACAAACAAACCAGGTTAAAAAGTGAGCAAAAGACTTACGCAGACATTATACAAAAGAAAATACATCAGTGGCCAATAAAGAAATGATACCATTATTCATCAGGGAAATATAAATTAAGCTACAAATGAGATACCACTACACATGTATTAAAATGGTTAAGATTGAAAAGGAGACAATACCAAGTGCTGTCAAGGACAAGGAATAACAGAAATTCTCGTTCTCTGCTAGTGGAAGCATAAATTGGTGCAAGCACTGGACAACTCTTTCTTAAATATACGTTTGCTACATTGATGGATTCTACTCCTAAGTATTTGCCTTAGAGAACTGAAGCCATGTCCCTGCCTAGATTTCTACCTGAATATTCATAGCAGTTTAATTCACAAGCACCCAGAATTTGAAAAAAAAGAAAAAAACCCAAGATCCATCTCTTTTCCCAAGGAAAAGAGAAGTTATGATACATTTAAACAATAAAATAATCGTAATAAAAGGGGATGAGCTATTGTTAGTTACAACAACCTGAGTGAATCTCAAAACCATTATGCTGATGGTAAGAGGCCAAGCATGAAAGTACATACTCTACATATCTATGAAATCTTATAAAGGCAAAGTGAACCTATAGAGACAGCAGATCAATGGTTGCCTAAGGTCAGGATTTTTTCATTGTTATTTTGCTCTTGAATGCAAGGGGGCACTTTTGGGGATAATGGAAAAAGACTTTGATTTTGATATAAGATGTATACATTTGTGAAACCATCAAAGTTTTATTGAATGTAAATTATTCCTCAAAAAGTTGAGTTAAAGAATTAAAGTAGTTATACCTCTTCTGTTCTTTGAAACATAGAAGAGATTATCTTTCATAAATCGGAGGCTTTGGGGAGTAGATTTTTTGACTATCAATCCAGTTTAGTTTTGGTTAATTTGTTTGAATGTTTTATTTACTCCTAAGGAGTGCATCAGTGATGTCAGCAATCTAGTCTTTCAATATAAAGTTAAGGTTATACATTTTTTATTAGGAATTATGAGGTACTTGATTAATGAGGAAAGATGGTTCTTGTTTTAATCTGTTTCTTTTTTTACTTGAGATTCTGTTCTTAAGAGTTGTCCTGAGATCCAGTCTGGATTCCATTCCCCTCCTCTGTGTTTTCATACCATTTACACTGCTGTGTGATTTTCAAGTGATCTTGATGCCATGCCAGGTATTGTTTTAGCTAAGAGCAGAAGTAAAATATGTTTTAGGTAGTGAAATTGATGCTTAATTTGTTATTCCTGAAAATCTTTGGGTATAGGTAGTGACATACATCTATGCAAATTATTTTCAGACTTTTTTTTTTTCGTTGTTGTTATTGCTTAGTGCCTTTCCATTTAGCCAGAAACCACAAACTCAGTTCAGAAGCCAGGGGTTAATGAGTAGTGAGACAAACTAGATATTAGACAAAGGGAATAAAGGGGACTGTTACCAAACTGGAGAATGCATCCCTCTACCTAAAGGCATTAAACTAAAATCAATCAATCAAAACTTGCCATCTGTAGGCCACATTCAACTGATTGACCATTATTATGAATCTGTTGACTTGTGACTTAAAATATATAGTACCATGTAAAGTAGTTTCTCAAGTAGGAGGCAAGGAATATCCTGGGAAGCATTTTCAGACTATCCACCCAATGAAAAGCTCTGTTACTGCACCTTGGTTCCTAGTGCTAAATGACAGTAATCAAGTTGATGGCATCATGTGGCTTCAGTTACTGGCCATTGCTAAGTTTTCTTTTTGCTAGCAGAGAATGTTAATTCTGCTATGGGTTTTAACAAAGCTACATTTGTGCACAGTTGCATTATTAGAGAAATGAGAAGAGATAACTGTATGTAGCTCTCAAATGACCCATATGACAATGTCTAGTGCTAGCCAAGAATTCTATTTTCTTATTATTCAATCACTCATTCATCCATTTAATAAGTATTTAAGTGTATGCCAAAGTGAGTTGGTGGTTTCTTTTCTCTGAAGATACTTAAAACTTAGTGTTGGGAGTGAGAAAAGCTAGCACTGGTATTCGAATGGCGAATGTCACTGAGACAGGCTTAATGAAGCCTCCAAGGATCAGCTGGCCTGCTGGCGAACGCCTCATTGCCTGTGGATT